GGGGTCACACCTGGGGATTGGGATCACACCTGGGAGCAGGGGTCACACCTGGGGGATTGGGGTCACACCTGGGGTCACACCTGGGGATTGGGGTCACACCTGGGGATCAGGAACGGGGGATGTGCTGCAGCCCTTGCCAGGAGATCACCTGCCCACAGGTACTCAGCAGCCCAGGCCCCATCCCTGCCCCACCCCGAGATCACCTGTGCCCTCACAGGAGCCCTCCCCCACCTGAGCCCCCCTCACCTGTGCCCTGGCCCACCTGGCAGCGCGGAGCTCACCTGGCCCCTCTGTACACCTGGGGGGCCCCCTCCCCTCAGGCCAGGGTGTCAAAAACGCCCCCCAGCAGAGTTCCCTCTGTGCCACCACGCAGGTGTGGGCACCTCGCCCAACAGGTGTGGGCACCTCGCCCACGCAGGTGTGGGCACCTCACCCACGCAGGTGTGGGCACCTCACCCACACAGGTGTGGGCACCTCACCCACGCAGGTGTGAGCACCTCACCCACGCAGGTGTGGGCACCTCACCCACACAGGTGTGGGCACCTCGCCCACGCAGGTGTGGGCACCTCACCCACGCAGGTGTGGGCACCTCGCCCAACAGGTGATGGCACCTCACCCACACAGGTGTGGGCACCTCACCCACAGAGGTGTGAGCACCTCGCCCACGCAGGTGCTGGCACCTCGCCCACGCAGGTGCTGGCAGCTCACCCACACAGATATTGGCACCTCACCCACACAGGTGTGAGCACCTTGCCAACACAGGTGTGGGCGCCTCACCCACGCAGCTGATGGCACCTCACCCACGCAGGTGTGGGCACCTCACCCACACACTGCGGGCACCTCACCCCCACAGGTGCTGGCAGCTCACCTGTGCCGAGCCCGAGGTGGGGACACCTGTGGGAACCCGGCTGCCCCCAGGGCTGGCAGGGCTGGGCTGCTTTTCCAGCCCTGCCGTCCTGCTGGGCACCAAACCCACCTGCAGCAGGCCAGGTGCTGCTGCCCAGGTGACCCGGGAGGGTTCTGGGGCAGGTGTGGAGATGCCGGGCAGGGCACGGTGCCAGGCACAGCTGTGCCCAGCCCGGGGGCTGTGGGGCACACCTGGGCAGGTGTCCCCTGTGCCCGCAGTGTACCAGGGGGCTGTGGGGCACACCTGGGCAGGTGTCCCCTGTGCCCGCAGTGTACCTGGGGGTTATGGGGCACACCTGGGCAGGTGTCCCCTGTGCCCGCAGTGTGCCCGGGGGCTGTGGGGCACACCTGGGCAGGTGTCCCCTGTGCCCGCAGTGTACCTGGGGGCTGTGGGGCACACCTGGGCAGGTGTCCCCTGTGCCAGCAGTGTACCTGGGGGTTATGGGGCACACCTGGGCAGGTGTCCCCTGTGCCCGCAGTGTACCCAGTGGCTGTGGGGCACACCTGGGCAGGTGTCCCCTGTGCCTGCAGTGTACCTGGGGGTTATGGGGCACACCTGGGCAGGTGTCCCCTGTGCCCGCAGTGTACCACGCCGTGTACCTGGAGGAGCTGACGGCGGCCGAGCTGGCAGAGAAGCTGGCACAGCTGTTCCGGGTGCCCGCCCAGCACATCCAGCACATCTACAAGCAGGGCCCCACGGGCATCCACGTCCTGGTCAGCGACGAGGTAACCCCCAAAACCCCCCTGGCCCGGGCCACACCTGGGGTCACCTGGGCCACAGGAGCACCAGGGCTCACCTGGGCAGGAGTTGGACGGGCCCAAGGACGGAATGAAACATTTTCGGCTGCCGCTCGCAAAGCTCCGACCTGAACTCCCACCTGGGCCCCTCCAGCCCTTTGGAACCCAAATTCTTCCCGAAACCACCTGAATTCCTGGGTTTGGTGTTTCTTCCAGATGATCCAGAACTTCCCGGATGAATCCTGCTTCGTCCTGGACACCATGAAAGGTGTGTGGGTACCTGGGCTGCGCTGGGGTCACCCCACCCCACCGTCCCTCACCTGCTGTGGGCTGACCTGGGCTTCCCTTGCAGCCGAGGGCAACGACAGCTACCACATCATCCTGAAGTAGGGCCAGGTGAGGCGCAGGTGAGGAGCACCTGCAGCCTCTCGGCACGCCTGGAGACCCCCCACTCCCAGCACGAGCACACAGGCAGACACCTGGGCACCCCCAGGCGCTGTCACCTGGCCACCCCCTCGAGGAACACCTGGAGACCCTCTGGAGAGCCCCCAGGTGTGGCCACCTTGCCACAGGTGAGCCCTGGCACGGACAGGACTGCTGGAGCTCCGAGGCGCCAGGTTCACCCACCTGGGACGGGCGTTGCCTCCAGGTGTGTGCGGCTGTGGCGTGACCTCGTGAGGTCATCAGGAATTCCGGATCCAGATTTAATTATGGAAAATGGGAGGGTAAAGGAGTAACCCGGGGTGGGGGGAGGGGAGGGGGCATTGCTGCGTGTTTTGGGGAGAAAAGCGAAGATTTGGCTATTTCTGCCGAGTGTGTGAAGTGATTGAAGCGGCTCCGGGCAGGTGCCCAGGTGAGGGATCTGCCCAGGTGGGGGAGGTTGATGCCCTGAGCCCTCAGACCTGGATCCTCCAGGTAACAGCAGCCTCAGCTCAGGTGTGTCAGGCAAAGAAAAACGGGAAAAGGCAATAAAAGCCAAGGATTTGATTTAAATAAAGCCAGGGTGGGGTCCAGGTGAGGCAGGTGCTGGCTCAGGTGACAACTGCGACAGCGCAGGGGGTCAGCCTCAGCCCAGGACTGAGCAGCACCTCCAAAATCACCCCAAACATCTCCCCAAAACCACACAAAAATCACCCAAAACCACCCCCAAGTAATCCCCAAAATCACCCCCAAACAACCCCAAAACCACCTCCAAAAATCTGCCAAATCACCTCGAGATGGCCCCAAAATCACCTTGAAATAGCCACGAATCTTCCCCCTAAATTACCGTTACCACCCAAAATTCCCCAAAATCACCCACGAATCCCCCCACATCACCTCAAATTCATCCTCAAATCCCCACAAATCACCTCAAATTCATCCCCAAATCGCCTGAAATCACCTCAAATTCCTCCCAAAATTCCCCAAAATCACCTCACATTTCTCCCCAAATCACCTCGAATTCATCCCCAAATCACCTCAAATTCCTCCCCAAATCCCCCCAAATCACTCAAATTCCTCCCCAAATCCCCCCAAATCACTCAAGTTCCTCCCCAAATCCCCCCAAATCACTCCCAATTCCTTCCCAAATACCCCCAAATCACCCAAATTCCTCCCCAAATCCCCCAGATCACTCAAGTTCCTCCCCAGGTCCCCCCAAATCAAGTTCCTCCCCAAATCCCCCAAATCACCCAAGTTCCTCCCCAAA